CATTCGTTCCGTGCACCCTCTCTTGCTTACGTGAGTGGTGTTGTTGTGGCCACTGTTGAAGCGCATTACAAAAACTCCACGGATCAAAAATCGTGCGTAAGTATTACTGCAAAGTCGATGAAAAGCAGTGGAGGGACGTGGACAAATGGAACTGCCATCGTGTTTGACCATTACGACGTGAAGATTGACCGCCTGTTGAGCCCAACAACCATTGTGGATGAAAAAGATGCTGAAACAAATGCTCTTGTTGGGGGTTATGGCACGTCAACGACTCCATTGACGGAGTTGGCCGCTGGTGACTATTGGATGCCCAGAATGGCGGACGGTGTTGTTCCGCATTACGGAGACGATGAGGAAAAGAAACAGTTTGAGTGGCAAAATCGAAGCACGTCAGGTGTTCCTTATGACTTTTGGGACGGTACCAGCACCAAGCCCAAACCCTTCAAACAATTTCTGGGTGGTGGTGGCGCAGGCATTAGGATGGAGGACGAAAGTCGCTATGTGCTGCCTATTCAAGCCTTGACCCATGATGGAAAGAACGTTTCTTTGGTCATCCTTGCCAACGGTACTTATTATGGTTGGGAGTTCTCAAAGCATACGAGTCATTACGGATGCATCCAGCCTGCGGTTCTTGAATGGAAGGAAAAAAAGCTTATAATGATGACGTCGTGTGATGACGGCAGCCGCAGGGTTTACATGGCGGACGAAAAGGGGACTTGGTGGACGGAGGAATACGACACTCTTTCACGCGTGTGGGGCAACTCGCTGGCTCGTAAGGGGCACGGCGTGCAGGGTGGCTTCGTCAGCGCGACGATCGATGAACAGAAATACATCCTCGTCAGTCGGCCGGTATATTCCGGGGAGGAAGGAAAACAAGAAACGGGCCGACTTCACTTGTGGCTGACGGACATGCAGCGAATTTATGATGTTGGGCCGATATCCGCTGAGAATGAGAACGTTGCCGCCAGCACTCTGCTGTACGCCACGGTCGAGGCGCAGTCATTGGAAGGGGGAGAAAAGAAGGAAGAGAAGAAACTGTACTGCTCGTACGAGGTTGCTGCAGGGGGAGATAACTACAACATTGCTTTTGTGGACTTGACGGAGAAGTTGGAGGACATGAAGAAGGTGGTGGCTGCATGGAAGGAGAAGGACGCGTACATTGCGAGGGAGTACGGCTGCGGGAATGAAAAGAATAAACCACGTGACTGTGGTGAAGTCCTCGCCGAGGGACTGGTTGGCTTCTTATCCAACACGTCAACTGACAGCACGTGGGCAGACGAGTACCTCGGGGTGAATGCCACAATAACGAAAGGAACGAAAGGAAAGGTGACCAGCACGGAAAATGGTGTGAGTTTCGAAGGGTTTGGAGCAGGGGCGGAGTGGCCCGTTGGCAAGAAGGGGCAGAATGTGCCGTACCACTTTGCGAACGACAAGTTCACTCTTGTGGCGACGGTGTCCATTGACAAGGAGCCGAACGGAAGCAGCTCTATCCCTTTGATGGGTGTGAGGATGAACGATGCACAAGGCACCCTGCTCTTTGGTCTGTCGTACACCCACGAAAAGAAGTGGAATGTAACATTCAGTGAGAGTCTTCGGAATTCCTCGGCGTATGGTTACGGTGTTGGATGGGAAACAAACAAAAAATATCAGGTGGCACTGGAAATGCATCATTATGATGGCGTGAGTGTGTACGTGGATGGGGAGGAGATATACTACACCAAAGATTATGAGGACGGGGAGGATTACAACTTTACTCAAAAGTTACGAACGCTGTTGAGGTCCCACGGCATCTCGCACTTTTACATTGGCGGGGACAATACGAGCAACTCGGACGAAATTAATGTGACGGTGAGCAACGTCCTGCTGTACAACCGCGCATTGAACGAAGCAAAGCTCAATGCGTTAATGAAGAGGAACGCAGTCGCTGCTGCAGCGGCGAAGGTGCCGGCCCAGGAAGTTGCGGCTCAAACTACCAATGTGAGTGAACCTTCTCGTCATCCCGCCAATGTGCCCGTCGTCACGCCTGAAGCGCAGCAAGACGCCACATTATCATCACGAAGTCAACACTCACCAGCGCAAACATCAGAAAGTGAAAGTGGACCAGCAGATTCCAAGCAAACATCTTCTGATATCATTGAACCCTTCACCTCAGCTGGGGCAGGTGGACACAGCGGATGAAGAATCTCCGCGGAACGGCAACACCGACGATCGGGCGCCGCACGGCATTTCATCTGATGTCTTGGAGAGCGTGCACGACGAGCCGTCCACTGCCAACACGCTCGCCAGCGACAAACAAGACGCTGACCGTGACGAGGACACGCATGCCCACACTGCCGTGGGCACGAACAGCAGCACAGACCCAGCAACCGCTCACCGCAATGATAACGTGTCGGGTGGCGCTGAGGCCGCACCGACTCCTTCGAGCGCAGCGCCTGGGGAATCCAAGATCCCATCGGAGTTCAACGCAACAATACCCTCGGACCATGTCATTTTGCTTGAGCACGGGCAGTTCGGCGATTTGGCGGCCATGGCTCTATTTACTGACAGCACCGTGCATGTGTGTGTGTCTGGGGTGCTGTTGCTGCTGCTTCTGGGGCTGTGGGGCACTGCGGCTCTCTGCTGAGGTGTGAGGGAGGGCGGAATTGCGGCTTTTCGTGGAACAACGAATGTGCAGCTTCCCAGCACTACGCAAATATTTCAGGAATACCTCTTTTTTTTCTTTTTACTTTCTTTCGCTTTTCTTTCATTTTTTTTTTTCTACTTGTTTACTTTTTTTTTTTCTTTTTTTTTTTTTTTCATTTCTTTTTTTTTTTTTTTTCCCTTTTTTGCTGGTGCTCTATTGAAATAATCAGCGCCCCTGTGTGTTTTTCCCCCCAAATGGTCGCATGCTGCACACCGTCATGAGTGTTGTGTTTCCCCTCTTTTGTTTTCTTTTGTTGCCCACACGCGGTGCCGGCCTCATTGTCGTGCGTCCCACGGACTGCACGAAAGGAAGATTGGAGGAACAGGCCGGATGCCGCATGGAATGTGAAGAATGTTGTGTGGGCTCGTGGAATAATGCGATTTTTTTTTTTTGTTTTTCTGTGTGCGGGCAGTATGTATGAACTCAAAAACACGGTCGTATTGTACTCCAGAGGAAACGAAATGAAATTCGCGCCAAATCGCTTTTTTTTTTTTTTTTCGTTTGTTTGTTTCTTTTTTTTTTTTTGGAGTTCTGCCGGACCCCCACATTTTTTTTTTCTTTTGTTTTTGCTGTTTTTTTCTTTTTTCTTTTTGGTAAATCGTTACATCTCTTTCCGTCTGTGCCGTGCTCACTGTCATTGTGTGTCTCCGTGTCCCTTTTATTGTCTCTCTGCTGGCTGTGCTGCTGAAATGCCTCCATTTCTTCTAATTTTTTCTCTACTAGAGGCACCGATGGTCCGCGACGACGATTGTTTTTGCTCCCCATTGCGAGGGCACGGGGGTGACTGGGCGCCGGCCTGCTGAGTGCACTCGGGGGAGCGGATGGTGTGCGCCGTGCCTCACTGTGAGTGTGGGATGCCACCCGCCACGACCTGCTGTGAGGCGTGATGCCTATCCGTCGGGGAAGCGACAAGTAAAGGACTGCGGCGTGTACTTGGATGCGTCCCGTCCCTCTTGTTGCGGCCGTGGGTGTGCTGTGCCCATGGCCCTTCGTTGCGGTGCGGCGGGATTTTCCTACCCATGTCTTCACCCTTGTGAGTGGTGGAGTGAATGGAGAGAGGCTGTGTGTGCGTGTGTGCGAGGTGCCCGTGTGAGTTGTGATTTCCTCCATTGTTATTTATTTGCCTCGGCTTTGTGTGATGGTCCTTTGGTTCTATTATTTTTGTTTTGCGATTGGCGGTAAATGAAGTGTGTGGACGAGCAGAAGACTAGGAGCTTGTGAACGGGATGTTCGCGAGGAAGGCTGGCTGCCCAAATACATGTATATCCTGATTGAAAGGATATATTTCTTTGGGTGTTTTTCCTATTTTATGAATCTTTTAGAAGACTCCGATGGTAGCAATCAGGGAACCGATAACTTCTGGATGAGTTTTAATTGCTTTTGTTTCTGCCGTCCCACCCGCCCCCTTTGTGGTTCTTACCTTGCGGCGGGGTCTTGCGGCTGGAGGAGCCCAAAGTCTTCCACTTTTTAGGTTGTGAATACACACACACAAACGCATTTATATATATGTACATGCGTTTCCAATCCGAATGGAGCGATCAAGTTACGATAATAGCCACCATAATGTGCATATATAAATATGCGCTCACTTGGTGTAAACGCTCACCGAGGATTTGGCGAACTCCGTCCCCACACCATTCGCCCCTTCTCATTCCGGTCTTGTGTGAATTCTATTGACGTCTGCGGGGTCCGGTCAGTGGCCCAAGTGAATATTCTAGGAGCTTTTTGTGTGTGTTTTTGCTTTTGTCGTCACGGCAATTTGGCTTTTGTTTTTTTTTGTGATTTATGTTTAAAATTTGGGGCGCTTTTGCCTGTGATGCTTGTGGTTTTTCCTACCGTTGTTGTACCTCCTCCTTTTGAGGGAGGGGAGGGGAAGGAATGGGGGTGTCAATCATGTGCGCTACTTTCCTTGCGCGTTGTTGGATGATCGCAGCAGAAGGAGTAGGATTTGGAAAGGACAGAAATGACGGATTACTATCAGAGTCTTGAACTCCCACGCGATGCGACGCAAGAGCAAATCAGAAGGAAATACCGCCATCTGGCGTTAAGGTTTCATCCTGATAAGGCGGGACCGGAGG